TTTTATTGGCTAAAGACCAAATTCCTCATTTTGCCCTTCCTTTAAAAAAAAAAAAATCAGACTGATATCAAGATACCAAAATAGAATATAAAACAATTATTCCTAATAATTGCTACTGTGAGACTACTTGGGCTATTTTTAAATTTCTAGTTTCACTTTAAGTAATCCTTATGAACAAATAGTGGGATATGTGTGTTTTTTAATCACACAAGGGATACTGCATTTGACTTTTGGTTTTTATCTATTCCTAATGATAAAAACACACCCAGCTCTTTTATGTCCCTTCAGGAGTGAGGGCAAGAGTTGATGATGTTATTACAGCCGTGGTAGAACACTTCCTTTTTTTTTTACTTTTGAGAATGTACCTGTTGTTCCTTCCTCATTTTTGTTTTGTGATTTTTTCTAAAAGGAAATTGAAATACTTTAAAATATATATTCATTGGAAATGCACAATAAATCTTCCCTTCTACCAGATACCAGACGCTGGTGTGGTATTTAGAACACCACTGAGATGAAATGGTCTCAGCCCTCGAAACCAAACCAGACTGAGCAACTCTCTTTACAAAATACACAACTGCAGTTTTGCTGATTGCAGTTACGGAAGATGCATGTCTCCTGTTGTTTGTGCCTGACACTTGGGGTTTCCCTTTCTCTGTCGCTCAGTGTCTTCTGTTTTCTGACTGCCTGGGATCTCCGCCACATTCCCCTTTCTCTTAATCTTCCTTATTGCTGCCCTGATAAGCTCATCTCTGGTGAAGTCGTCATGTGTTAGAAGGTAATATATTTGCTAGTTAATGCATCTCTAAGAGATTGGATGGAGGGGAAACAATGAACTAAAACAAAGCTTTACCTGTACAAGAACTTAGGGTAAAACATTGCTAGTTTGCAGTGTGACAAAGGCGAGCACAAGCATTATTGTCACAGAGCAAAAGAATCTTGAGCAGCTGCCTGCCCCCCGTTGTCTGCTCATTTGATTGGCATCCTTTTAATGTTTACTGTGGAGGTGAGCAGAGATAGTGCTTTCACTTTCCTAATAAAGGGGGTTGGTCACTGTATTCTAATAGACCCAAAAAGAGCAAAATATTTTTACCACAATTTTCGTAAAAAGGGTTATAAATACACAAAATAGCAATAGGTGAGGAGGTGTTCCAAGTTGTGAGAACAGCAAAAGAGACGAATTGGAGAAGGAAAGTCGTTAGTAGAGACAGACTTACGAGAATGGGGATCACAGCCTGGATCGGAGCTGTCTGCTCTCGGATATTTCTAGTGCCTCGCAGCAGGGACGCAGTAGGTACTGTTGAATGAACGAGAGGGTGAGGTACAGACGATAAGGCAAAAAGGACAAAGGCTTTCAGGAAAGGCTTTAAATGTCTATGTTAATAAATAAGGAGGATTTGTTCATTTTCTCTTCCTGTGAGTTCTTTGGCTTATGGCATTGGAGAGATCAAGTCTTAGACAACAGCAGAGCACATGGTCTTAGCCATAATACCTAAAGGGTCCGAAACAGCAAGTATTCCTGCCACCAAAGATTGCATTAATACTTACATGGGAAGTAACAGTGAACATTTGAGATGCCTCATTTTTCAAAGGACTTAATAAAAAGCTACAGTCTTCCTATTATTTGATAAAGTAATATAAATGAAAGAATTGTTTTGAAATCATGCTTATGTATGTGTGGCTTTTTCTTCTGTCCATCTTTTTAGGTGGCATCTTTAGCTGGGCCTGGAGGGCAAGTGGAAATAGAACAGAACTTTCTTAACAACAAATTGAAGACAATCACTGCTTATTTTGGTGACCTGATTCGAAGACCAGCCTCTGAAACCTAACTGAGGCAGTCCAAGGACAAACAGATCAAGTGGTCTTCAGAACATTATTCGGATGAGACACTTGGAATGAATGTCTTCCTGGAGTCATTGACACTTTGTACCCATAGTCTTGTATCACCATATGAAATGGAAACTTACAGGAGTTGAATGAATGTTAATGAAGGGCTTTGAGATCTTTGGGTAATATTAACTATGTATATTGTACATTAGGATCGTAAGTGTCTGATATGGAAAGGGTAGGCTTGCCTCTGTGCTTAATTTCAGTGTGTGTATTTTTATGTGTGTGTATTTTTTTTAATTTTGTATGTTTTGGTTTACCATCTTTGTATGTATGTATATGTGTGCAAAAAAACAATTGTGTTTTTTTAATATAGAGAGATACAAAGAAAACAATGAATTAGTTACAGTCTATCTACCCATTTAATCTCTACCAAAATAAATAATGTTATATGTTTAAGGCTAGAAATGTAAACAGTACAAAATGAAAAGTAAAAGTCTCCCACCCCCTTCCCTACCCTTTATTCATTTATCTAAAGGTAATCACAGTTAACAGTGTTCTATAATTCCTTTGGAGGAGCAAAGAATTGCAGTATACCCTAATGCACTTTTTTTTTTCTCATTAATGCACTGTTGAATACCTTCTCTCTTTTTTAACTGTATCTTTTTATAAAAGTATGTATTTTTTTTTTACTAGTGTATACATGGAAGACCTTTCCATATCAGTACATACTTGTAGATCTACCTCATTTTTTTTTAATGGCTCTATTGCATTTCTTTTTCTGGATGTTCCATAATTAGCCAGTTCTCTCTTGATGGACACTTGGGCTGTTTTCAGTTTTTTACAGTTACCAACTATTCTGCACTGTCCTTAAGTATAATATATGTTGTTGAACAAGTATACCCGTAGGGTAAATTTCTAGCTGTCTGATTGCTGGGGTTTGTACATTTTAATTTTGATAGGTAGTCAAATTGCCTCAGTAAAGTTGGAGGTACTTGTGTTGGCACCCACAGCGATTAGATGGCATATTTTCCTCCACCCTCCCCAGCTTGGGGCGTCCTCAAGCATTTTGATTTTTGCTATCTCGTGGGTGAGGAAAATGGTGTCTTATTGTTAGTATACATTTCCTTAATTATGAATGATATTTGGCAGATTTTCATGTATTTTATCCTTTTTAATAGTTTTCTCCCTGTTTTTTTAATTTTTATTGTGAGTTATCTTTTTCTTATATATATAACTTCTTTGTAAATTAAAGATCCCTTTGTCTTTAGTAGTTTTACAAATATGTTTTTCCAGTTTGTTGCTAGCCTTTAGATTTATTGGGGTGTTTCTGTTTTTGCCATACATAAGTTTTTAATTTTTATGTAGTCAGACTTATTAGTCTTATCTCTGTTGCTTCCGGGTTTATGTCCTTTTGAGATATCTTTTCCTTTCCCAAAATAAAAATACATTTATTCAGACTATTTACTAGAACTATCCTGTTTTCATGTCTTTGCTTCATCTGGAATTTGCTTTTTGACATCCTTTTTATAAAGATAGTGTTTTTAAATTTTCCATTGCAAAATCAATATGAAATATATTTTGTAATAAAGAAGATAATCCTTTTCTATTAAAATGGCAATGAAAGGAAGAGGAATATGTCTTGTTTAATTATTCATCTAGAAAGTGTGTTCAGTCATTTTCACAAGTAGGTAAAAAGACAGTGACATACAACTCTTGCCATTGGGGGTTGGATTTGAGACCTTTATCTTTTAATAATGTAAGCACGTTAAACATTATACAAAACACAATTGGGGTGGGATAGAGCTGGGGAAATTGAAATAAACTTGAGGGGCCGGGCATGGTGGCTCACGCCTATAATCCTAGCACTTTGGGAGGCTGAGGCGGGAGGATCACTTGAGCTCAGGAGTTCAAGACCCACCTGAGCAAGAGCAAGACCCTGTCTCTCCTAAAAATAGAAAAATTTAGCTGAGTGTTGTAGGTTGAGCCTGTAGTCCCAGCTACTAGGGAAGCTGAGGCAGGAGATTGGTTTGAGATTGTTGTGAACTATGATCACACCACTGAACTTCAACCCCCCAGGGTGACTGAGACTCTGTCTAAAAAAAAAACTTGAAGGACTTTCCAAGAAGTACTGGAATATTAAACAGTAAAAATAACTACTATATAAAAAACAACTTTGTTGGAGTGTGCTAACTTTAGTCTCTTGAAACTACAATTTATGCATGATTGCTCGCAATACAGTAGCAGTTCAACTGGTCATTATGGATAAGATTACCTGATGAGTTCAAAATCTATCCAAATATTCTTGATTTTTAGACTTTATGTATCATTAGTGTATATATAGTAAACACATCAACATGTCTGAAATCCAGCCAGCATTGGTCATAAATAGTTCTATTCACAGCCCCAAGAACTAGAGTGTGACTTAGCAGGTGGCAGGTGGGGTAAAAGCAGATTTCCAAAATCACCAAGCATTTTTTGGCATTTTGTCACTTAACCTTTCATGCCTATACTTCTTTCCACAATACATTTTCTTACTTGTATATTATTAATATTGAAACTAATTTGTCTTCCTGAATTTGCATGACCTTATGTAAGAAGAACGGAAAAGAAGCTTAGCCAAGACTAAAATATTCCTGCCCACTGGTCATACAGGGATATAACTAACTCATAGACTGTCTTACAGGTCGTTAATGCTCAAAAGGACTTAAGATGTGTTCTAGTGTACTGTGCGATTCTTGTTCAAATAAAATCTTACAAAGAAGCTGAATATGGATAAAAAAATGAAGCTCTTGGCAATGTTTAGGACAAAACAGAAGTGAAGACACTAGTAACCCCTATTATTTTAGTCCAAACCAGTCTTTTTTCTTGTTAGATTACAAAACTTTGAAGATAATTTTTAACAAAAATAAATATGAACTTTTAACAATTTAAATACAAAGTGAACAATTCAAAAAGTGAACTTCACTCTTGCCATTTCTCTCCTCCCAACCTGCCACATTTACATTCCCCTCCCCACTACTGACACCGTGGTAGGTGTCCTTTAAGACAGTGGTACCCAACCTTTTGGGCACCAGGGACCCAGTTCATGGAAGACAATTTTTCCAAGGGTGTGGGGGGGTCGCAGCTCAGGCGGTGCAGAGCGGCTGTAGATACCCTAATACCCTGGCAGCTCACCTGAGCAGCACCGGGTTCCTGAGTTTCAGCGGCTCACCTCCTCTTGTGCCCTCCCCCACCCCCCCCAGTTTTCCTAAGTTTCGTGGATGACAATTTTTAATTTTTCCACAGACTGGGGGCGGGGGGGAGCAGAGGCCGGTGGCGGGGCGGAGCTGAGGGAACCGGAGCTTTAAGACATTTCCCTATGCAATAAAAACGTGTGCACGCACAGTGGAATGGAATGGGATTACATTATTCTGGAGTTTGATTTTATTTTTCATTTAATGTCTTAAGAGTTTTTCCTGTATGAACACATCTGTGCTATCATTTTTAACAAACAGTACAAATCTGTGAGAATTGCTTTAACCATTACCCAATTATGTAACAGCTCTTGCAGTTGCAGATACTGCTGCAGGGTATATTTCTAAGTAGAATAGATTCCCAGAAGTGAGTTTTTTAGATCAAAGGTCATGCTTATTTGGTATATCATGTCAAGTTGCGTCCAAAAATATATATTCCCACCACCTTCATGAAAAGGGTCAATTTTCCTCACACCCTCAAAAGAAATGTATATATCCGCTTCTCATTGTTAACCATCTGATCAACATGAAGTTATCTTAATTTGCATGTCCTGATTGTTAGGTATGAACAATTTTTCATATATTACCCAGATACATGTCAGGCATTCAGTTCTTTGCCAAATGAATAGCTAATTGTTACATTATTTTCTATTAAATGAACTCACCTTTCTCCACTAATGTGAAATCTAACCTATGTGTGTGCATACGTTTGTATGTATGTGCGTATGTAAATGTATATGTAGTTCTTGAATTTGTTTTGTTCCTTAGATCCTCTTGTCTGTTTCTGTCGTATGTTTTTGATTACTGTAGTTTTTTCATTGTGTGCATTGACAGTTGCAAATTTCCCCATTAGTCTCAAAATTTTCTGACACTTTGAGCATTTTTAATTTTTTTCTTAGACAAACCTGAATTTTTCAAGTTCTATATTAAAAAGCCTTTGTGATTTTTAATTTTCACTTTAGGAAAAGTGATGTCTTCACAACATTGAATCTTCCCCTCCAAGGACTTGATATGTCCTCTTGTTATTCTGATTTTTTTTGTATTTCAGTAAATCTATATCATTTTATTTGTATGAATCTTGCATTTTTTTTTTTTTTGCCAAGTTTATTGCTTGGTATTTTGCAATTTTTGCTTGATTTTGGACACAGTCTTTTTCGTTACATTTTCTAATAGGTATATTGTCTGTATAAGAATGCTTGTGATTTCTTTGTCTTGTAGCCAATCTTCTTACTGAATTCTTTTAATAGTTCTAATAGTTTTTAATTGATTCACTTTGATTTTCTAAATAGGCAGTCATGACATCTGCACAGGAGTTTTTCTCTTTGCCAATATCTATGCCTCTTAATTTTTATTCTTTTCCTATTGCACTGGTTAGGACTGCCAGGAAAGTTGTGATAATGGCACTTGTTCCTTGCTTTTTATTTTGCAATGAAAGGTTAGAAGCATTTCTATTACATGTTATTGTAGCTTGCGTTAAAACTAAGATATCGTCTTCCCTACAGCTTCTTTTATTTAATGTAGGAAAGTCTAAATTACTTTAAAATTTTCAAATAACCATATCTGTGTTCCTATAATGTAATGTATTATTTTAGTTCACTACTGGATTTCACTTGATAAATTTACATTGTTTATGTTTGTTTATTTTGTGCACCTTGCCTGGTTTTGGTATCAGACTGTTCTGGCAGAATGCTTTATAAAGTCTCCCATTTTTTTCTGTGTTCTGAATTGCATTGGCAATATCTGTTCACTGAACCCTCAGTAGAACTCCAGGAGATTTTTTTTTTTTTTTTTTTTT